ATACAGATGCGCCATTTATTTTTGGCATCATTCTTACAAATTTAAATATGGTTGACTAAATTACCATGTAACCTAAAAAGTTGCCAAAAATATAAAAAAAATTCATATAAGTTCATAATAAAACTCACGACTTTGATATTTTCTGCTATGATCCCTACATAAAAATTATTTTATAATGTTGTAATTAAAATTGGGCTGTAAAACTTAAAATTTTGTCTAATTTAATTAAATTAATTATATAGAATTTTAAAATTATTTATAGCAAACTTGTGTATACCCAATTACAAAACTAATTAAATTTTCAAATCTAAGATCGTACATTAGAAAAAATTAGATTGTAATTTATAATCAAATTTTATTATCGTAATATAAATTGGGTAAAACAATGCAGAAAATTTTCTTATTTATTCTTAATAAAAAAAATGTAATCAAGTAATTTTTTTTTTTTGAAAAATATTTTAATTTTATTATTTTTGATTACTACACAAATAAAATCTGTTTATTTTCGTTTGTCCTTTTTTCTTTATTTAATTTGTCGTGAACTAATTAAATTCGCATATTTTCTTGTTTTTTTTTTATTAAAAATTTTATATAATTTTTCATTTAGAAAATTCTTTTAATATTTTTTAAAGATTGTAATTTTTCAATTTAATTTTTAAATTTTCCTGTGCATAGTCTTCATCAAAGATCACCACATTCACAAATTGCAGTATTTTAATGTCAGAACGTACAAAAGCACCAACATAATATTTTTGTTTTCATAAAATTATAAGTTTTAATTTTCATTTAGTGTAGAGATTCATAGAAAAAAAATAAAATTTAAAATGGTTGTAATAAAACATAAAATTCATTGAAAAAAAAATTTTTTTCTCTTATTAATTTTATTATTTTGGCACTCAAATTAATGCAAACTGTCATACAAATGTAAAACAAAAACAAAGTTATATCCTATTTTACCAAAAAACAAAATAATATTAAAAAAAAAACAAGAATAGCAAGAAAAAATAAAAAAGATCGTTTGCCAAGTACCAAGCAAAAATGAATTTAGATAAGATCTCTGAACAATGAGAGGGCCATCAAATTGAAAATATTACCCTAATTAATTTTCAAGAAAAAAAATTTGTACATAACGTATATACTTATATAATATGTATTATAATAATTATTCGGACACGTGTGTTTGTGTGTGTTTGATCGTTTTTCAAAAAAATTCTTTAAATTTTTTATAAATTCTTTAATAATACTTTGTTAAATTGTTTTTTTTTTGCTAATATTTTATTTTCTGGGACAATGCAATTCTATATTTTTAATAATGAATCCGCTCCTTTTTAGCACTTTTCCAAAAAAATTTTGAAAAACAGTGCCTATTAGTTTCTTTCACTCCGTTAATCCGTCCGTACGTCGATCTTTACTAGAAACTTATTTCTGTAGAACAAAATTTTTACCTATCCTCTAGAAGTTATACCACCCTAAAGCCGTAAAAATGTTATTTTTTAACGATTTATTGCAGTAAAGCAATAAGCGTTTCTTAAATTTTTCAAACGGAGAAAAGCAGTGGCTTGCTTCTCTTATTGCGCCATACTATAGTCGAACTTTAAAAAAGCGGAATGGCCGTTCAGATTTACCGTTTTTTCCAAATTTTTGATGTCGTTTTTGTTCTAGACCCCAAGTTGTGAGAGCCTGAAATTTTGACAGCTTTTAGACACTAACAAATAGTTCATTTCGTTAGAAGAAAATTTTGAATTTTTGACGCCTTACATTTCCGAAATCCCAAGCTAACGCAAAAACCTAACGGTACATTCCAAGAGATTAAAAAATATAATTATTTTTCTTAACTCACGCAATTAACTTTTAAAATCAAGCATTCAGTTAACTCCTCTTTACATTAATTTTTGCTTTACTTCAAAGACTGCATAAATCGTTTAACCGAAATATATGCAATCCCAGAAATAATTTCGTATATGAATAAAAATAATTTTAATAGTGTGGTAGTTATACTTAGACTGTATTTAAAAGCAGTATTTTCACTTGTTTAACCGCAAAGTACTACAATGCAAACCTTTGGTTTGACCCAACGTTATTGTGATTGTATCTGATTTGATTTGATGCAAAAATACCACACCTCTCGTTATTATATGGTTATGATGACCAGACCATAGATTACCATGTATAAAGTCATGTAACAAATTAAATTTATTTTTTGATTTTTCGTTTTATGTTTTGCTTTTGTTTTACAATCTGCCACTAATTTTGTACTTCACTTCTTTTTTTTTATCTCAAAATAAAAGATCTCCTATAGATATTATAATATTATTTTTCACAAGGGAATATATTTAGCATTTTAAATAGCTAGCTTCCTATTTATGTTATAGTTATTTGCAACGTAGACCCAAGCACAATGCTCTTAACACATTCATTGATCACAAGGGTATTAATTCGAATGTTTAAGCATAGTGGTTGGCATACAATTATTTCTTTTACATTTTACATTGTGTACATTATTAGGATTATTATTCAATATTTGAAAAAAATTATTCGCTTTACAAAAAAGAGACACGTACACCTAATTATTATGACATTTTGTATAACATATTTTTAAATGTTCAACATAAAATTATTAATTGAATTATGTGATAGCAAGGAAAGTTTAATTATTTTTATCTTAAATAATAAAGAAATTTTAAAAATTAAAACTAATAAGAAAATTTTTACATGACAAATTAATTTATAAATTTTAAAAATTAAATATAATTTTTTTTTAATTTTACCAAATTATAAAATAATAAATTGTTTTTTAAGTACTTACATGTCTCAAGATTTTTATATGCACCAAAGCAACAACGAAACAAAAAAATGTAAATTTATACAAAATTTTTTATTTGAATAGGTAAATCAATTGTTACCTTACCGTGTTTTAGATGACCAATCTGAATTGTCCAATTTTTCTTAAGCTCATCAGATCCATGTGTAAGTGTTCATATACTGGAGGCGACTCGCTTAGAGTTAATATATCGTTCTCTAATATTATTAATTTATTATACCAGGTGATTCTGAAAGGTATACAACAATATAATTCATGGGTTAGAGGATCGAAAATGAATGAAACATTTGTTCCGGACTGGGTGCTAAAAGGTTTCCGAGTTCCATGGATTTTAACAAATTTTCACGAAATTTTTACTTATCCAAGTTGATTATAACTTCCGTTCTGAACAAAATGGGGACTTCAAACCAACCGTTTCTAAAAGGCCTAGTAAAGGGCTTAAAATAAACATGTTGATTGATTTTGTATTTTATGTACTTTCGGAATTCTAAGCATTCGAACTTTGAGGAAAATCAAATTTTTCCCTTGTTTTATTTTGTCAGTTTTTTCGAAACCTTGAAATTCTTTTTTATAGAATTTTTCCCAGTTGCTTAAACTTTAATTTAAGTTCACAAACATTTAAAAAAATTTTTATGTTACCCAAGATATAGTACAAAAACCACAAATATTGTGAGTCACAAATTCAATTAAAATCAAACCAGATATTATAAAACTAAAATAGATTCAACTTAAAATTTCTTTATCAAAAAATTTGGAAAAATATTAATTTTAAAAATTTACAAATTTCTGAAAACAAACAGCAAATTCTCATGAAATTCAATTAGTGTAGGACAAAATTTATGCTTTTCTTCTTTCAAATCTATTTCTATTCAATTGCATATATTAGAACACCTTTTTAGTTGCATCAATCGTATAACAATTTAGTTTTTGTAGAAATATGTTTGCAATTTAATAACCTCATTAAATTATTTATTAGTTATTTATTAGCTTCATAATGTTAATACCATATCATTTACAAACTCCATTTTGTGTAAAAAAATTTAATTTTCCTATTAAAAAAATTTTTTTTCAACTAAAATAAATGTCGAAATTTATATGGCATGTCTTTAAAAATTCGCTACATCTTCATCATTTTTATAACTTCAGATGCCAAATTGTGTCTAGATTCCGAAAATATTTTTTTCAAATTTTTAAATTGCACTCAATGTGAGAAAAATGCATTTAAAAATTTCAAACCATATAGGTACCATTTCTTACAAAAACTGGCAAAATAAAAAACCTTTCAATTTTTTTTACCAAGAAAAGTTTCGAAAAAAAATTTTTGATTACTAGATTTTTTTTTTAGTTTTTCCAAAATGAAAATTTTTAGTTTTTCTTTTTAAAAATTTCAAATTTTTTAAATTCAATTTTTTGTTTTTCAAATTAAAAGTTCGTATAAAATTTCGTTTCAATTTTGTTATTATTTGTTACATTTGAACAAAAACATTAAAATTCAGATTTTTTAGAAATAACGTGATGTTCATCCAAAACAACAGTCTTGTCATCCAAAATTAATGATAGTTGATAATTACAACGCTTATAATAAGTAAAAATAAAACATAGTGAAAAATAGGGGCTGTAAAATCTTTACATAGAAATGACATAACATTTTTTTTAATGTTTGAGGACTTAAATTAAAGCTTAAACAGCTTGGCAAAATTCTATAAAAAAATTTTCAAGGCTTTAAAAAATTTTTTGCGAAATTATCTAGTTAGAAAAAAATAAAACTTGATTTTTTCTAAAGTTCGAATGCGGTATTCCAAAGGCACATAAAATACAGAATCAAGAAGCATGTTTATTTTAAGCCCTTTAAACTTGGATAAGTAAAACTTTCGTGAAAGTTTTTTAAAATCCCTGGAACTCGGAAACCCTTGAGATTTGACACGCAGTCCGGAAGAAAAGTTTTACACATTTTCGATCCTCTAACCAACGGTATATGTTGTTGTATTCTTTCTGAATCACCCTGTATACTAGTATGTATTTTATGTCGTACACCTTAGTTACGGTACTGAGGTGTAGGACTCATACAAGTATTTTTCTGAAATAAGTTTCTTAAAATTTTTACAAAATCTTACCGTCATCAGTCAGAAATTCATTATTAGTTATTATTTAATATAAATTATTTTGCATTTATTTATAGGAATTTTGTCAAAATTCAGATATCAACTTCCTAAGGACAAAGAAAGCTTTCTTGCGATAAAAAGAAAAAGACTTTATGAGGATAAAGAAAACATCAATGAGAACGAAGACCGGAATAATGAAAACAAAACACATAATGTTATAGAAATTGGTAAGTTAAATTTATAATTTACTTACTTTATAATAAAATAATTGTTAATACATTGCAGAATAACTTCATCTCTATTTATTTTACGTTTAGATATTTAACGAAAAAATGTTTTATTTAAAAACTTGTTTAAAAAATCAAGCATTTAAATTTAAATGAGTTAAAAAACTATCTGATGTAGTCAGCGCATATAACCGACCGCAATATTACATATTGTCTAGCAATACAGAAGAAGATTATGATAGATGATTATAAAAATACTTGTTAAGCATTTCTTTTTAATTTTTAGAACACTAGTAAGCTTTTAGTCAACATATCTAGAAATATGTAAATTTGGCTTTTAGTGGAGTTTCGCTCTTTGTCACCGAAATATCTTGAAAAATACGACTGGTATTTTCGGTTAGAACCAGAATTGTAAATTTCAAGAAATTTCAATAATTAGTTCCGCAGGCCTTTCCAAAAAATTTACACGTCCACTATTCTAACATCCCGAATTTAAATATTATATTTCTAAAAAAATTGGTTGACTTTCTCTTTATATGCGAAAAATGTAAAGTCCACCAGCAAAAAGGTTCATTTACCGAAACCTGATACATACCAAAAGTTGATCAATTCGTCAGACAGCCAAAATAGACACACATGTAAAATAATATCAAAATCAGTTATGCCGAACGCGTGCACACACATGCAGAAAGACAGACAGACATCTCCCTAAAAAAAGTTTATTTACACTTCCCTACCATGAGGAAGTGTGCGGTCATAGAAAACTCTATGTCCGAAATTTGTTGTGATAATTCAACCTTCATTGATGTAAAATATAATACGATTAGTAAAAATGTGCAAACCCAAAATTTAATCAAAATATGCCAAAAGGAGATATGATTAAGTTTAACTGAATCTTATTATAATTATGCCATTTTTAAAATTCTAAAATTCTTAAACTGTTATATTTTCAATTATTTCAATTATAGTTTGCCTTAAATATGCTCTGCATAGTCCCAACAGTTTTTAGATACGTTAAATGCCTAAAAACTGTTGGTAGTAGACAATTTATATAGAATAGCGATAAATAAAAATCATTTTGATTTTTTCTTTTTTGTTATTTCAGAGTATTCACGTGAATCAACATTAGATTTAGTTGGCTTACAAATATGGCGTGGTGCATTATTATTAGCTGATTATTTATTTCATCATAGAAATGAATTGTGTGATAAACAAGTTCTTGAATTAGGTGCTGGAGTTGGTTTAACAAGTATTGCAGCTGCAATGTATGCTATGCGTGTAATTTGTACAGATGTTAATCTTGGCGGAATTTTAAAATTAATTCAAGACAATGTTAACAGAAATCGAAAAATAACTAAAAATGCTGTTAAAGTACTTGAATTAAATTTTGAAAAAAAAGTTCATTGTTCTGAAGTTGAAGTATACATTAGACGAACTGATATTTTTTTAGCTGCCGATGGTAAGTTTCATTTTAATGCAAAAATTTTATTTTATAACCAAAAATTCCATGAAAATTAAACTCATACTCGAAATTATAAATTTCATTATAATTTTTTCATTTCAGTTATTTATTTTGATAATTTGACTGACGCTTTTGTAGCGACACTAGACAGAGTTTTAGCGAGAAGTAAAAAGCCAGGTGCTGTTGCATATGTTGCATTAGAAAAACGTTCAGCATTTAGTACAGATACTGATGCTATACCACCTAGTTTTCAATACTTTTTGGATAAAAGCAGTAAAATGAAATGGAATATTGAAAATATAAAATTAGATTTCCCACAGTATTTCGAATATGACAGAAATAAAAAATTAGTTTTATTGAAAATCACAAGAATACAAGATAAACTAAAAGAAGAACAAACAGATTTGCAAAATTAAATATTAAAACACATTTTATTTGTTTCATTTCTTTTACAAGGTTCGCTTTTTGTTTGTGTTATTAGGAATGGATTTTACCGGGCTTATTTTAATATCTTAACAATAGCAGTACATACAAAAAATCAAAACGAGAACTGTAAAACAAAACAAAACGAAAACGAGAACTGTACGAAATTGCTAAACCTGCCTGTCATTCACTGTTATCCTCATACACTTATAACGATTTAACTACCTTGTCTGTTATGAATCATAATGAAATTCATAAAGTAATCCAAAAATTCATATTGATTCTAAAAATATAAAAATTTAACATAAATTTTTATTTGCTTAAATTTTTTGTAATAAAATTTTATAATATTATTTTAAAGGATTACGTTTATAGATCCACTGAAAATGAAAAAGGCAAAAGCGTTAAGGTACCCTCTTTTTACCCAAAATCAGTAAGAGACAACAAGCAACGTAAGTAAGAGACAACAAGCACACAAATTCTTTATGTCGTTATTATTATTCTTGAAATTTGGAGGTCTTCTGTAGAAGGACGATTTATTCCAGTCAATTTTATTATCTTCTGTTGTAATTCGCAGCTTTTGCTATTATTGTTTTTAAATTTTAGAATTTTTTCAAAGAATTAATTTAATTCATTTGTCAGAAATTTTCGTCAGGAATCAAAGAAAATTTAAAAATATTACCCTACCCAACCTGTTATTTTTTTTTAAATTAATAACATTTCCCTAGAATAGCATATCTCTCATTACTTCAATATTTACTTTTCCTTCTATATTTTCTTTCCTTTCTTTTTAGCACTTTTCCAAAAATTTTTTGAAAAAAAGTGCTTATTAGTTTCACTCTGTCCGTCCGTCCATCCGTGGACACTTTTTTTGTTTACAAAACTTCTACACCCTTGAAGATAGAAAGCTGAAATTTAATACGTACATAGATCTTTACTAGAAACTTATTTCCGTAGAACAAAGTTTTTACCTATCTCCCCCCCTCTAGAAGTTATACCCCCCAAAACTCTAAAAATGGTCTTTTTTAAATATTTGTTGAAATGAAACCATAAGCATTTTTAAAATTTGGCAAACGCAAAAAGGCAGCTACTTGCTTTCCCTAGCGCGGTATACTATAGTTAAACTTTTGGAAAAACAAAATCGCCGTCCAAATTTACCGTTATCTAAAGTCCTTTTTTCTAAAATTTTTGATGTCGTTTTTCTTTTAGACCCCAGCCTGCAGAAGCTTGAAATTTTAGAAGCTTTTAGACATTAACAAATAGTTCATTTCGTTAGAAGAAAATTTTTTTTCATCTCCACCCGCTCTCAAGTTATCGCCTCTTGAAATTTGTAAAATTTGAATTTTTGACACCTTATATTTCCAAAACCGCAAGCTTTTTCAAATTTCTATAAACGAAGAAGGCTAAAGGTAAATTCCATGACAATAAAAAATATAATTATTTTTCTTAACTCGCAAAATTAAATCTTAAAATCGAGCATCATGTTAACCCTACTTTATATTAATTTTTGCTTTATTTCAAAGACTGCATAAATCGTTCATCCTAAATATATGCAATTCTAGAAGTAGTTTTGTATATGAACGAAAATAATTTTAATAGTGTGATAGGTATGTGAGGTATAGACTGTATTTAAAAGCAGAATTTTCACTTGTTGAAGGGAATAGTGCTATAATACAAACCATTGGTTTGACCCAACTTTATTTATTACTTAATTTCTTTAAAGCTGTAGCTAATAATTTACTTAGAGAAATCAGGGCAGTAACTTATAATGTAAATTATAATTAAATTTTTAGTAAATTATAAGTGAATTTGAGATACAGTTTGGAAATAAGTTAGATTTTTTGTGTATTTTTAAATATTTAGTAAAAAAGAATTAGAATTTAACACTCAATTAGAGAAAAGAGAAAATAACATTTATAATCTAATTAATTCCTTTAAAGATGTCAAAAAGTCTTTCTCATTCAGTTCAATTTTAATTTAATTTTCGAAAATTTGTAGTTTAACCATTAAAAGTAGATATAAAATTTTTAAAATTGCTATGTTAATATCGAAAAACTTACTCAGTTGGAATCTCTATTGAAGTTGTTTTAGTATAAACTTGGAATGTCAGGTAAGTTTGCACAAATTTATACAAAAGCGCAAATACAAAGTAATGTATTAAAAATGTAGTACAAGTAAAGTAATGTGGTATAAGTATGATACGATTCCTATAAATATGCAATATTTAAGTATAACGCTAATAAAAGTTCTATATAATTTACGGTATAATTTTATTCCACATTTACGGTATAATTTTAAATCAAAAATTTACCAGGAAATATTAACAAGAAGATAAAATAAAAGATGTGCACCAACAAAAGAATAAATTTAAAAGTAAAAAAATATTAAAAGCGGGCAAAAACTACCAGAACTTTTAATAAGGATAAAACATAGGATTCTTCTTACATAAAGATAGGATTCTTGTTCCGTAAAGATAGGAAGATAGGATTCTTGTTCCGTAAAAAGCAATCGAAATGTAAAGAAAAAGTAAATGAGTGTGTGCATCAGAAGGATTAAAATTTATTACATTTTTGGAATACAACGTAATGCAATTTAACTTATACTATAATACTGATGAACAAAATTATTACATACGCTACATTATGTAAGTATATGTGTTTGGACAGTAATGCTATTTTTCTAAATCTATCATACTACCGTTTTACTTTCCCGATTGTAAATTCACTTTTTGAAGTTCCGCAGTACTATTACGTGGAACATCATCTTTAACATCTGCAATAAAAAACTCTTTATATTTTAGTTCTATCTTATTGTTCTAACCTCTAAATCTCTATGTTATTGCTCTCTTAAAAACTACTAGTTAAATAGGGTTTCCAAAAATGATTTTAAAACTTTCGAAATCCGATATCAAAACTGAAATAGTTACCGGAAAGCACTTGTAAATTTAAGTACTTTACATTGCAGAGTGTTCTTAAATGAATATGAACAAAATTATCACAACCATGGACTAAAAAATTATTACAGCTGCTAGTCTACTGCCTCAGCATAGAGAATATTTAGAAATGTCGAGAACATAATGCATAATACTAAAGTGATTTATAGTTTTAGTGAACGTATATACTTATGTACTTTGTTCAAAAGTACATGCATATTCTTGCAACATAATCTTATATTTGTATCTAGTTCAAACTTTTGTTTTTTAAGTAATAGAAGCTTGTTTTTGTTGTTTTTTGTAATTTTTTTCAAACTTTAATTCAACTGTATTAGTACAAAGCAAAAAGAGAATTCATATTTACAAGAATTTAATTTTGAGCACAAAAGGTTAATAAAGGACATTTCAAATGTATCCTTGAAAGGTTTAAAGTGGAAATTATATTTAGATTTTAAGTTATGAGATAAACACATACAAGAACATAAGAAATTTTTTGTTTTTTTTGTTGGTGTTTTAAGAGTTCAAAACAGTTTTCAACTATAAACAAGGAGATTAAATTTTGCATTTTGTAAGTTTAAACTGATAAAGTGAATGTTTTACTGAGTTCGAATGTTCTGTAACACATTCGTTTAACAAGATAATAATTCATAAAATTAAATATTTTGAAATAAATAGATGGCACTAAAAGTTTATTATTTTCTGAATAGCATAATTTTTAAAGTTTTACGTATAGTATTGAGTTTAAATTGCTAGCATTTTAAGAAATAAAAAATTGCTTTAAAAGAAGGGATTGTGTTGAAATTATTATGAAATTTTTATACGCAATTTTATTCTTGGTTCTTTTTTTTGTCATCGGATTTTAAATTGGTTTGTTTCACAAGTTTTTCATTTATATTTTAAGAACTTGAAGAAGGTTTTTTGGTTTTGACTCTTAATAATACAGAAAATGAATAATCCAGTGAGAATGAAATTCAAAAAACTAATTTAAACCGCTATGGAAACAACGTTTTCAGAGAACAACTTAAAAGTTTCGCCGATATATTTAAAAACTTATAAGAACTCTCAATAAATGGAATATTAATTTCGGTACTCTAATTGAATTTTGATATCGAATAAATCCCGTATTTTTAAAATACTTTTGTATTGTTTATTGTTGTACGTAAAAAGCTCAACACTGATGACTTGCTTATAGTCAACTTTGATGACTTGCTTATAGTTTAAGCAATACAACATAAAGATAAAACATAATTTTTAAGCATCATGTTGAACTGGCGGTTATTAAAGGACAGAAAATCTCAGTTGAGAATGAAATAGTAAAAGAGAAATTAGTATGAAAATAGTTAAACAAAAAGATCAAAACTGTAGAAAAACTAATGGCAAATACCGTAAATCATCAACCAATAAAAATAATATTTTCATTCTACATAATAAAATAAAGTCAAGAAGAAAACGCACGTCACATACTCCGAAATATTTAAAGGGAAAGGTTTAAATTTATATTATGCAGGGTGGTGATTTAAATAGTTACACAATAACGTATATCATTGGTTAGAGGGTCAATAACGGCTAACGGACTATATGCGAAATCTCAAGGGTTTTCGAGTTGCAGGAATTTTGACGAATTTTCACGAAATTTCTACTTATTTAAGTTTTTTGCTTATAACATCCGTTCCGAAAAAGATGAGGTCTTCAAACAAATAGCTTCTAAAAGACCTAGTAAAAGACCTAAAATATGTTACTTGATTTGTATTTTATGTGATTTTGGAATATCACAATTTCGTACGAAATTTCGCACATAGTCCGGAACAAATGTTTTAACCATTTCTGACCCTCTAAACAATTGTATATGTTGTTGTATATCTTTTAGAATCAACCTGTATTTATGTATTTCAATTTCAAAAATTTTAATTTTCATTTCTGATTTGTTAATAACCGTAATTTACGAAACTCGTAACAATAATTTTATTAATAAATTGACGATATTGTTTTTTTGGGAAATTTTCAACTATGATAGTTTATTTGCCGATGGCATAGATATCGTGCCAATGTAGGTCGAGATTATTTTTCAATTACG